GATATTTCTCTACTCTCAACAGTTAAACTTTGAAATTTAACTGTCTCGAGTGGAGAAATATCATAACACACTTGATGCAGTGGTGGAATCTATATTTCTTAAAAGGTCAATGGAAGCACCTCGGGAGTCATTATACCATGATACTGGTAAACCACATCATCCCATTAATATCATTAACTTTTTTGGTTTGTATAGTTTTGTGATCAATATGTTTTATTTTTTAATTATATTTTCTTTCGAAATATGTTTGTGGTTTATAAGGTAGCTAGCCCGAAATCTATATAATTCATTATATTCCATATAAACAACATTCATTGTCAAATATAAATCTACCAAATAATCACCGTTATACTAGCTTGGTATATCTAGAGAAAATTGTATAATTTCTTTTTTAATTATTATCGTATGTTTGTATGTTACAAGCTGTTACAACATTTTGGAAATTATCTTAATCAAGGAATATATCTCACTCATGCAAAGCTCAGATTCCTTGCCCGACTTTGCCTATTTTTTTTTGCCCTTTTGGGTTTATAAGCTCTTCATTTTTTAACATGCTTTGGATTTTCAAATATTTTGGCCTCGATCACTGAAGAGACATTTATTGTCGAAATGTGCATCTGGTGCAAAATAAATTGGTACCGTTTAATGTTATGACAAATCATTCTTGCTTATTTGGCTTAGGTACAAACTTTGAATATGGCGTCAAACGTTCATGTCAAGGTCGACAGCAAACGAAATTTTGCACGTGCTTCTGGACCTCCTTGAAAAAAAATAAAAGTCGGTTTATGTTCATTACTATATTTTTCTACTGGAGTGTAAAAACTCTATTTTGAGGTATTGTTGTATAATTACAATTAATCTGTTTAAATATCAAATTTACAAAAATACACTTATTAGACATACAAAGAAATGATAAAAGCCATTAGTATTTATTGATTATATGTGTATTTTGGAGATAAAAGTATATCGTCTATTAATTTGTATTTATGATGGAGACTAACTGTCTCATCTTTCAGAATTATAACTCTAATGCAAAGAATAACAATGCTATACTTAACTTAAAAAAACTCACCACTTGATAGCTATGTTAGACAATATCTGTAGACATTTAGACGATATATACTCTGTAAAAAATCCAGATTTTTGTAAATATTTATATACTTATATATATATAATATGTAAAATATGAAGCATAATAAACAAGGCCCATGTGGACGGAACGGTGCAATTTGCCGGTAGTGTGATATACTCAATTATTTACAAACTGTTGACCTTCAATTATAAATAACAATAACGGTACCGATGTTACAGCACCAGATGCGAATTTCGACAATTAATGTCTCTTCAGTGATTCTCAAGGCCATAATGGTTAAAATTCCAAAACCTAATATAAACGTCGAAGAGGTGATAAAACTAAAAAGGACAAAAAGAAAGTCCAATTATCTTTCAAATGTTGTGACCATTTTATCAACGTATGGAAGTCTAGCGACGAGTTATATTAAATTCATCTACAAAACTTTTCTCAGACAGAAACCAAAGTTGCTACTCTTCATTTTAATTCAATGGATATATTCGTAAAAGAGAGGCGAAAGATACCAAGGGAACATTCAAACTCAAAAGTCGAAAATAAACTGACAACGCCGTGGCATAAAATGGAAAACACCAAAAGACAAACAACAGTATACAAAGCATAACATAGAAAACTAAAGACTGGGCAACACCAACCCTACCCAAAACCGGGGGTGATCTCAGGTGCTCCAGAAGGAAAGCAGTTCCTGCTCCACATGTGGCACCCATCGTGTTGTTCATGTTATTATAATCCCAGTGATAATTCGGGAAAAGGGGGACAGGATTGTGGTTATAACGATCAAAACATATCCGTCGTCATCTGTGAAGCAGTATTCGATAACGGTCAACCAACTCTTGATGGCGTCCGTAAAATTTTCGAAAGAATGATTTCAACTTCACCACTTGGAACTCTTGGTTTAATAGCTTCCTTCTGAGCAGCACCTCTCTTTCAAGGAAATCATGATAGGAAACGCAAGCCCAGGAATATCGTTTCAACTGGGAGATATATACTATATATGCAGGCGCTGCTGGAATATGTTGCTACATAGAATTGTAAAGTTCACAATAGGGAAGCTGAAATCATCTCTTTTGTCGTAAAGTTTTGTTCTCAACCAACCCTCATTGTCAATTTCTAGATGTAAGTCAAGATATGAGCCAGACTTAACTGTATCTATTGTATCCTTTATTTCAAGTTCGATGGGATAGATGCGTTCAACAAAGTCACCAAACTTTGAATTATTTAGTAGGAGAACATCATCTATATAGCGGAATGTGAAGTTAAAGGATAATGCTAGCTTCTTTTCATTAGGAAGTCAGCCTGAAATAAATAAAAAATAAAAATGTCGGCAAGAAATGGAACAGTTGGTTCCAATGCCAATTGTTTGTTGAAAAACACGTCCTCCAAACGTAACAAATATGTTGTCAATCAGGAAATCAAGCATCTTGATAATGTCAGTTTCAGGGAATTTTTATTTGAATCAGAGTGACTTTTTGCAAAGTACGATGTATCCTTTCCTAAGACAATATACTTGTATCGACCATTCTTTTTTATGAAACAACGCAGGACCAACTCTTTCAATTTGTCTTTTAGTTCGGAATGGGGATTTCTTGTGTAAAGTGTAGAAAGTCAAATGTTTTAATACTATTATAAAATCTTTATAGTTTTAGATTGTATGTTCTCTTACAGATCTTTGAGATTTTTTTAGTATCCAATCTGATTCACGCCGCCTCTAGAATAGGTAGTTTCACAATAACCTTGAATCCCAGCTTTGATTGCTGATAAAAAAAATGTTGTTTATAATCTAGAAAAAGGATTCGTGGACGACCCAGTAATATAACGTTGTTTGTAAGGACATTTATGTAATTTAGGCATCCAATACGGTAAAGGAAGATCCAGTTCTTCATCTTTGGTTGCAATCCCAAAGGAACATCGAACAGACCTATGATTATCTAGGATTTCCTCCTTGGTAAGTGTCATGGGTGTATATGTTGAGTTTCAAAGTGAATTGTCAATACCTAATTCAATTATTAAGCAGTTGATGTAATGTGATTTACACACGAAACGATGTTATTTTATCTGCGGGAACAGCAACATTTTTGGCAACATTTGGGTCATAAAATATTGATGTAGCATGTGTATTCATAGACCCATTCAGTTTTAATTCTGATTTGTTTCAACGACCTCACAACCTCAATCCATTCCTAAAGAGTATCTACGTCTTCTTTCTCACGTTTAGCCCATAGCCTGGCATTATCGTCGACTGAATCCATCAGTATTTTCAAGTTGTATTTCCAATTGATGGATTTAGACCCACGATATTTCGGACCTTTGGATAACACATTTTGCAGAGAAGAGTTATTGACAATGTTTAGGTCACCAGTAATACCGTGGCCAGTCGTACTGTATATGAATGGGGAACAAGCACAGGTGAAATCAGGGGGCTTAGACTTGAAGGCGTCAATATTGAGATCCTGCACCGCGTGTTTGAAATTGAAAATTTTAGTTGTATTCAATTGGTACAGGTATAAAAAATGATAGGTGCAGAATGATTTTTAGAATAGGGAGGTATTTCCGAGTGAACTGATTTATAATGAAAGATGTTGCCCAAATTGATGGCATCGAGACCTTTGTTGGCAAAGGAAAGTTTTAGAAAGGATCTTTTCTTCTTTTCACCTTTACCAATGCGAACTGGTTTGAAAAGTCTGTGATTGATAATTTCGGAGATGATAGCTGTCATAACATTAACGGTACAAATTTTTCTGCACCAGATGCGCATTTCGACAATTATGATGCGAACTTGCATATGAAGGATTGGATTGATCAGGCGGATAAAAATGCTGGTAAACAATGTCGCTTGCATTGTTGTTGATGTCTGATCTATGGCCGCACATACTTAAATCCTTTCGTTTCAGCGATATATACCAATCCGCAAAGGTTACACTCTAATCCGTAGACGAGATTCGTAAGTGAGAAATCCGTAATTGGTGGTGATGTGGTCTGTTGAACAGTCAAATATTTTCGATAATTCCTTTTATCCTTTTCATATATATTATTTTTAATATATACACCTTATTTCACTTCTATGATAATAAAAATTATCTAAACAAACTACTTTAACTCCGTCATATATTTATGAGTCGTTCGAAAGTCAGTGGTTGTCTGATGTCTTATCATAATAGTTCTTATTTAGAGAAATTGGTGTTTGATTGAAGATCTTTGTCTATTTCTGATTAATTGATTTACTGCTTTGTTACACTTGGGTTGAACATTACGTGTTGTATAGACATTTGCCTTTTATGTGTTCGTGTATATGGTACCATATGTGTCTTTTGGCTACTTGTATTAGTCTGTCTCATTGACGTATACCCACATCTTTTTTAGTTCATACTAGCTATAGTCTACTGAAAAGTATTATTTTATGTACTGGAAGGCTCGAGCACTATTGTGAGACAAAATAATTTAGTAACTTGGCATGATCTATTATAGCTGGCTATATGGTATAGGTTTTGTTCATTGTTGCTGTCACCTATAGTTGGCTTACATTCACGTTACTTGGACTCTGGTAATTATACTTGTCCTATTCGTAATAAAACCACATCTACTTATTTTCATACTATAAAAAGCGATAGGTTTTTTAAGGAAAAAGTGCTTTACGATGCATTAAAATTCAATATTTGAAAAATGACTTTTCCCTCATAGTATGCAAAGTTACCCTTAGATAAATTTTCATATACTTTGTATGTGAAATTTGGCAATATTCTCCTCACGCACTCAGGTATTTATACATTCTTGGCTTTCAAGTGTTTGAAATGTTTTACTTTTTTTTTCTTAAAGAGTTGAATAATCCAGAAAAGCTCCCCTGGAACACACGAAATGTATAAAGTTTTATTTTCATTTTCATTTTCAATTTCATGAAATAAATATGTTTGACATACTTTATTATAGACCATTGATTAACTGGTAAATATCTATTTAATGCAAAAACAATTTGATAGAATCTTTGACTGCTTAATATATCCGTAAGTTTCCATTTCTTTTTCTTCATCGTTTATCTCATTTTGAGTTTTTGTTAAACATTGCAAATTCATCTTTTATATCTTTTAATAAATTTTCATCTGTAAAGATATCAAGACAGGTAAGTGCCATAGCTTTTGCTTGATTCAGGGTGTGCAACTGAGCCTTTGGATCACCTGGAAAAAAATAAAGCATGAAATAATTAAAATAATTCTAAAATTACATAAATATATCTGCCATATGTTATATGAAACGAGTATCTTGTAATTTTAATGGTAAGAAAATTATCGGACCAATGCATGCATATATATTAAACTAAGTCCTCTATGAACGCTTTTTACATTGATTTCGAATCTACAACGTATTCACAAACGACAAATTATGTTTCATTGATTATCGGATAGTGACCGTGAAAAACAATCAACACATAATCATGACGTGCAAAATAAGTGAATTGATAGAGGGATGTTTTTAAAAATATAAATACATATTTTCCATGCGTTTCCATTTTTTATTTAATCTTTTCCATAACAGTTGTTAAATGATTTTGTGTATTTAATTTGTTCTTTAGGAATCAATTATCACTATTTACCTTCCAGTGCACGTTTTTTTACAGTGCAGTGGCCTAAGTTCTAACGAGAGGTCTCTAGTAGAGGTCACTGCATACGGAAAAATATCGGCGAATAAGAGTACGAGGAGACATTAATACGATAGCAGTACTTTTCTGAAGATTTTGATCAGATAAAGGATGTTCTTTAAGAAAGTCCATGTACACTTGTTTTATAGTAAATGTCATTCATGTATATAAAACATATTTATTTTTTTTTTATATTTGAAGTATCATACGACTTTAACATATGATGTCATGTTATTCGTGTAATTGTTTGTGAATGACTCAAATAGAAGCTGTCCTTTCATAAAATTTGATTTTGTTGTTATAAAATTTAGCATTCATATATGATTTATAATCATGGACAAGTATGAACAAATGGAAATTCATAATGTGTAGAAAGTAAAATAACAAAAATACCGAACTTCAAGAAAAACTCCCTTATCAAATGTCAAAATTAAAAGCTCAAACACATCAAACGAACGGAAACGACTGTCATATTTCTGACTTGGTACAGGCATTTCCTTATGTAGAAAATGGTGGAGGGTTCGAAGACAGTCCGTTTTATTCGCCATAATCAACAAAAAATGATGGGAACGTCACAGAACATGTATATATAAATATTTGATTTTTTTGTATTAAAACTAATGTGTTGTACGAAGCGACATAACTCAATGATAACTTTCAAAAATATCACACAGGTCGCTGACAAAATTAATTGCATGATATAAAAATGATAAATGCTGTATCTGGTATCTAATAGTTATCTCAAGAACGAATATGTCATCACTGTAAAAATATATAAGATCATACATTTCCAGCACAATGAAATTTTTTAACGTCCTCCATACATCACGAGAACACGAACTCTGGGAAAATAACAGCATCCACCTGGTACCGGTGTAGAATTAAAATGAAGTGTTTAATGTTTTATTTAAGAAACTTCTGTTATGTTTGTCTATTTCAAATATATCTAGAATAAATCATATGTTCTTCCGATTTACTGAATTAAAAAGGAATTGCGAATTAGTATCCATAGTCATTAATAGGACATGAATATTAAATTAGTATAGTGTCATAAACGGGAATAATTTTTGTGGGAGCAATTGGCACACTCTGTACATACAAGTAAAATTTTATACTTTTCATTTAAATTCTGGAATTTACTTTTAATCATAATTATTATTTTTATAATCACAGCGCAGCATATTCTTATAGTTTTCATATCATAGTTGATAAGGTATTTTATTATGAATCATGAGGTAATATTTAGTGTAATTCCGAAAATTTCACTGCTTTACTTTACAAACATAATACCATACCTGACGCAGTGGCAAAATCTTTTGTATGATTTCCAGAGTTCGTTTCAATGGCATATATCGGATGAATACTGGGAATAATTTGTGAAACATTCCCCATATCTGTAGAACCTGCTATTTCATCCTCTTTGGCGTCAAATTTTACACCAATAGATTGTGCATTACTCCTGAAGACGTCTGCCATTTTATTGTTAGTTACAAGGTTCAAATAAGGCTTGCTGGAAAACGAGTAGGACACCTGTAAACAAATATACAACGATTGACTTTAACGGGAAAGTAGAATACTAACATGATAACATTCAACTAAAAAACAAACTCATGTTAACAGAATAACCGGTTATTCATGAAAAACGTTAGCTTTATAGTTGCTGAATGTTCCAACCCGTACTAACACAATTACTTTTATAGTTTGTTGTCACTTATTAAATTATCTAATTGTATGTAAAACATTGGAGAATAAGACCCTTATATTTACCGTATGTATGACGCATCCTAAAAAGTAAAATAACAAAAATACCGAAATCCAAGGAAAATTCAAAACGGAAAGTCCCTTATCAAATGGCAAAATCAAAAGCTCAAACACATCAAACGAATGAAAAACAACTGTCATGTTCTTGACTTGGTACAGGCATTTCCTTTTGTAGAAAATGGTGGATTAAACGTGATTTTATAGCTAGCTAAATCTCTCACTTGTGTTTTGGTCGCATAAAATTCCATTATATTGACAACAATGTGTGAACAAAGATTACTTCATCAAGTAACAAACAATATTAATTTAAAAGATGTCGAAATAGTTTGAAGTTTTAAGTAAACTCCAAAATAATCGAGTTAAAGGTTCTCAGCAGCAGGATACAAATGTAAATATATGGTGTTTAAAAATAGTAGTTTACAGATGTGGCTTATTTTAATGTTCTGAAATATTAGACCTATACAAGTTACTTCAAAATTTTACTGGTGCACAATTTCAGTTGTAATTACTACTTTTATGTTTCAAATGTTCAGTCGTTTATACAACGATGTCATGTATGTATGCATGCAGATATGAATTTTAGTATACTACACCTGACATCCAGTGGCTGTTGCTGCCGAGTCAAAACAGGATTTCATCTTGTCTCTCAGTTCATCTAGTTCTTGTTTGATTGGCGCTCTGAAGTAGTACTCTAGTTCAGTGAATTCTGGTATTATGTTTGGTTTGATACCCCCTTTGTTTATTATTCCTAAAAGATAATCTTTTATTTTACTAATCAGAGGACTCTATTTAATTAAAAGAGGGACGAAAGAATCCAGAGGGACAGTCAAACTCACAGATCGAAAAAAAAACTGACAACGCCATGGCCAAAAATAAAAAGACAAACTGACAAATAATAGTACAGATGACACATAGAAAACTAAGCAACGCGAACCCCACCAAAAACTGGGGGTGATCTCAGGTGCTCCGGAAGGGTAAGCAGATCCTGCTCCATATGTGGCACCCGTCGTGTTGCTTATGTTATTACAAATCCGGTAAATAGTCTAATTCGGTAGGTCACATTCGTGAAAAGGGAAGGGTATTGTAGTTACGACATAAGGAACATATCCGATATCATCTGTGAAACGGTTATTCCATAACGGTCAACCAACTCGTGATGGCGTCCGTAAAATTTACGAAGTGATGATTTCAACTTCACCATTTGGAACTCTTGGTTTAATAGCTTCCTTGTGAGCAGCAATCCTCTAGTAAGGAAATCATGATAGGAAATACAAGCCCGGGAATATCGTATCAATTGGGAGATATATACTCCGTATGCAGGCGCTGCTGGAATGTTGCTACATAGAAATGGAAATTTCACAATTGGGAAGCTGAAATCATCTTTTTTGTCGTAAAGTTTTGTTTTCAACCGATCCTCATTGTCAATTTCTAGATGAAAGTCAAGATATGGGGCAGACTTAACTGTATCTGTAGTATCCTTTATCTCTAGTTCGATGGGATAGATTCGTTCAACATAGTCACTAAATTTTGTATTATTTAGTGAGAGAACATCATCTATATAGCGGAACGTAGAGTTAAAGGATATTGCTAACTTCTTATCTTTCTTCCTAAGAAGTTCATGTATGAAGTCAGCCTCATAATAATAAAGAAACAAGTCGGCAAGAAGAGGGGCACAATTGGTTCCCATTGGAATTCCCACAGTCTGTTGAAAAACACGTCCTCCAAACGTAACAAATATGTTGTCAATCAAGAAATCAAGCATCTTGAGGTGTAATACCACCATTGATTTTCCCCTATTAGTCTTTGTTAAATTTGCACTTTTCAAAAAATTGTGCAGAATTTATCTTTGTTTCAAATAAAGAAATACTTGGCATGAGTAAAGTTTGATCCTGTGCAGTACTATAGAAAAAATTTCACATAACATTTCATTGCATATAAGAAAATAACCATCACTGGAAGTTAACCAATCAAATTTTCCCCCTTTTTTAACCTGTGTACAAGCTTTAGTAACCATGTAACCTCAAGTTTCCAAAATATTCTATAGAAACCCCAAATAAAAAAATAATGGTGCTTTGAAATACCCAAGATATATGTTTATGACCCAGAAATGTTTTACTGCAATGAAATGTTGGATCAGTTACCTACAACTGTCAAATTCCAGGGAATATTTTTTTTCGACCTATTTTCGTATGCAACCGGATGTGACGTACTATGATTTGGTGGTATTACACCTAAAGAAGACTTTTTTGTTAAATAAACTGAATGTGACTTTTTTCCTTTGTAATACTGGTTATTTCAAGCATTCCTGTCAAGTTTTGTCATAATCAGTTCAATAGTTTGAGAAAAATCTAGTATAATGTAAGACGACATCTACAGCGATTCGAGCTAAATTTCTTCGAAAAATCCAAACCAAGCCGCATCATGATATAATATAGTGTGGACCAATAAATGATCAAATATTTATCTCATCTGCCTACAAACAGTTGAATATGATACAAAAGATGACTTTAGGATGATAAATACTACTAATGGACCTCTTTGTCTTCCTTATAAGGTCTCTTTTGGTCCATTTATACCTCTCATTTCCTCAAAATTTCTACTTTATAGGCCAATAAATAAAAATTTGGGGGTAACTTTCACTCATTTATGATAGAAATGTTATAATAAATGATTAATTGAAGTATTCAAGCTGAATGAACTATCCGTATAAAAGTTTACTGTCTCCAAGGAGGTTTCAATAAGTCCTTACGTAAAACTTAAATTTACGCCGCGTTCCAGAGAGGGACATAAAAAGCTTCTCTTTTGGTGAATAATTTGTTGTTACTGCTTTAAAAATAATTTCATTTACTTAAAACTATATATTTATTAAAGTATTACTTAGGAAAAATTTTCTAGTATAGCAGAATATAAGAAAAAAGGAGAAAAAGCTCCCCAAAACTCTAAGTATGGCTTATTCTGTCAACTAATATTCATGGTAAAGTCCTATTTCAAGGAAATTTTCTCATAAAATGTGTTTTGGAGACTCAATCCACTCAGAATATTTCATTATTAGTAATATTTCACTTAAATAGCAAGAAATTTTAACACATGAGAGTACTCACAAGGTCAAAGGTGCATGTACAGCTTCCCATAATAGGTGTAATACCACCATTGATTTTCCCCTATTAGTCTTTGTTAAATTTGCACTTTTCAAAAAATTGTGCAGAATTTATCTTTGTTTCAAATAAAGAAATACTTGGCATGAGTAAAGTTTGATCCTGTGCAGTACTATAGAAAAAATTTCACATAACATTTCATTGCATATAAGAAAATAACCATCACTGGAAGTTAACCAATCAAATTTTCCCCCTTTTTTAACCTGTGTACAAGCTTTAGTAACCATGTAACCTCAAGTTTCCAAAATATTCTATAGAAACCCCAAATAAAAAAATAATGGTGCTTTGAAATACCCAAGATATATGTTTATGACCCAGAAATGTTTTACTGCAATGAAATGTTGGATCAGTTACCTACAACTGTCAAATTCCAGGGAATATTTTTTTCGACCTATTTTCGTATGCAACCGGATGTGACGTACTATGATTTGGTGGTATTACACCTAAAGAAGACTTTTTTGTTAAATAAACTGAATGTGACTTTTTTCCTTTGTAATACTGGTTATTTCAAGCATTCCTGTCAAGTTTTGTCATAATCAGTTCAATAGTTTGAGAAAAATCTAGTATAATGTAAGACGACATCTACAGCGATTCGAGCTAAATTTCTTCGAAAAATCCAAACCAAGCCGCATCATGATATAATATAGTGTGGACCAATAAATGATCAAATATTTATCTCATCTGCCTACAAACAGTTGAATATGATACAAAAGATGACTTTAGGATGATAAATACTACTAATGGACCTCTTTGTCTTCCTTATAAGGTCTCTTTTGGTCCATTTATACCTCTCATTTCCTCAAAATTTCTACTTTATAGGCCAATAAATAAAAATTTGGGGGTAACTTTCACTCATTTATGATAGAAATGTTATAATAAATGATTAATTGAAGTATTCAAGCTGAATGAACTATCCGTATAAAAGTTTACTGTCTCCAAGGAGGTTTCAATAAGTCCTTACGTAAAACTTAAATTTACGCCGCGTTCCAGAGAGGGACATAAAAAGCTTCTCTTTTGGTGAATAATTTGTTGTTACTGCTTTAAAAATAATTTCATTTACTTAAAACTATATATTTATTAAAGTATTACTTAGGAAAAATTTTCTAGTATAGCAGAATATAAGAAAAAAGGAGAAAAAGCTCCCCAAAACTCTAAGTATGGCTTATTCTGTCAACTAATATTCATGGTAAAGTCCTATTTCAAGGAAATTTTCTCATAAAATGTGTTTTGGAGACTCAATCCACTCAGAATATTTCATTATTAGTAATATTTCACTTAAATAGCAAGAAATTTTAACACATGAGAGTACTCACAAGGTCAAAGGTGCATGTACAGCTTCCCATAATAGGTGTAATACCACCATTGATTTTCCCCTATTAGTCTTTGTTAAATTTGCACTTTTCAAAAAATTGTGCAGAATTTATCTTTGTTTCAAATAAAGAAATACTTGGCATGAGTAAAGTTTGATCCTGTGCAGTACTATAGAAAAAATTTCACATAACATTTCATTGCATATAAGAAAATAACCATCACTGGAAGTTAACCAATCAAATTTTCCCCCTTTTTTAACCTGTGTACAAGCTTTAGTAACCATGTAACCTCAAGTTTCCAAAATATTCTATAGAAACCCCAAATAAAAAAATAATGGTGCTTTGAAATACCCAAGATATATGTTTATGACCCAGAAATGTTTTACTGCAATGAAATGTTGGATCAGTTACCTACAACTGTCAAATTCCAGGGAATATTTTTTTTCGACCTATTTTCGTATGCAACCGGATGTGACGTACTATGATTTGGTGGTATTACACCTTGATAATGTCAGTTTCAGAGAATTTTTTGTTTGAATCAGAGTGATTCTTTACAAAGTAGGATTTATCCCCCCAGCCCTCCCCCCCCCCCCCCCCCCCCCCCCAAGACAAGATACTTGTATCTACGTTCGCCATTCTTTTATCTTAAATATATTCAAATAAAAACAAGATTATAAAACATAAACATTTTTCAAATACAGCTACCCTATTTGGCGTATATTAACTTCATTTGTCTGAAATTGAATTATCTCAAACAAACACATTTTATTTTGCCAGTTTTTATGGACTCCCCCTTTTTGAATTTGCCTTGGAGTTCGGTATTTTTGTTATACTTTTTTACCTCAATGGAAATTAATTTAGAACAGGCAGTAGTACATGTTTGCAATATCTAAATATGTGATAGTAAAAAACAGGAATGTTATTTTACACTCCAAAGAAATAATTTCAATCGTATTAAATAAGAAAAATGAAATCCTATTTGAATACATACATCAAGAAAAAAAGTATCGGAAAACTCCAAATGTATCGACAGGGTAGGCGTCTCCTTCCATTACTGCAGCACTTGCAATGCAAATTCAGATTCATTAAAGGTCGGGGTATACAATAGGACACAGATATTTACAGATCTGACAACCATACTCAGCGTCTTAATGCCAAATACCGCGATAAAAACTTGCCTTTTGAGAGCCTCAGGCATATTTCATCAGTCAACAAATTTATGGGCATGATCCTTTTAAGGTAGCACTACAGTCAGACTTTTTTTATTCCAACCAACAGTATTTGAAGGTTAATTTCTCCAAAACTGCTCAATGGATTTTGAAAATCTATGATTAAAAGATATTTGTTATATGATCAATTAAAAAATATAGCTCAATAACTGCCAAAAAGTGCTCTTTCAACTTGGAGGAAAAAAGCACATTCATGTCAAATCGTAGTAAAAATGTGTTTTCATCCCTTTAATTGACCATACACAAACTACAAAACTGTGTCTCATATTTTTGATAAATGCCTCCAGTTAGAAGATATATTGATTTAACTGCTGGGTGCCATACCTCATTTCACCTTTCATCTTTTGAGACCTATAAATTCTTTCAGAAACAGATTATCCAAAAACTGGGACACAGTTTTGTACAAATTACTCCCTTGAATCACATATATCAAAAGATATAAGAAGATGTGGTATGAGTGCCAATGAGACAACTCTCCATCCAAGTCACAATTTGTAAAAGTAAATCATTATTGGTCAAAGTACGGCCTTCAACCCGGAGCTTTGGCTCACACCGAACAGCAAGCTATAAAGGGCCCAAAAAATTACTAGTGTAAAACCATTCAAACAGGAAAACCAACGGTCTAATCTATATAAAAAAACAAGAAACGAGAAACACTTATGAACCACATCAACTAACGACAATCACTGAAAATCAGATTTCTGACTTAGGACAGGTGCAAACAAATGCATCGGGTTTAAACGTTTTAATAGGAGCCAAACCAAAGGGGATACCAATAAAGTTTCTATTTTAATTTTTTGATAACAATTCTCATTAAAAATTGTTAGGAAAAAATCAACTAAAAAAACTGAATACTCCCTTTGAACCCCTATAAATGCTATATAAATATCAAAACTCTTCTGGAAATACCCCAGGAGTGTTCTGACACTCTTACGTTATCAATGGAACCCTAATTTAGCATTTGGCGGGAATTTTACGTCACAGATTTGACCAATATCTGTCAAGTAGTAATTAAATATGGTCAAAGCTCCTCCTCTGTCCAGACAGTCCAGACAGTCTAAGATAAGAGAATATGAAGAGTGACGAGCTGCATGATATCAATATTTAAACATTATATTCTCACGATGAAATAATAATTATTATTCATATTTAAAACAAATATATGGTATTGTGGAATTAACTAGGACACAGAATGTGCAATACAAGATATATTCATACTACCTACTGTCCTCTACAAAATAGAACAGTAAATTATAGTTGTTATGTAAAAAGTTTTACCACATTTTAAGAAAAAAATACACTACCACTACCATCCAGGTGATTTGTCTAGAATAAGGATTGTTGTGAATGTCAACTTTTGCTGGTGTCAAATTCAGATACAAATTCTATTTGTCTTAGTAATAACATTTTGCAGAGGCTTTCAAACCTACTCTTGCACATTACTTTAGATTTTTCCCTCTACGTTTGTTCCTCTTTTACATTTTCTTTGTTTACCTTCATAGTTATATAAATTACTTTTAATTGCAACATAATAAGATAAGTCCACAGTATTTATCTTGTGTCAGATATCAACAGCTGGACACTTGATATCAACAGATGATTGAAAGATAAGCTCCTCCCTTATCCTCTTATATGTAAAATATTTACCATGTGCTTTTATTTACATAATTTAATTATCAATGTATTCCCTGTTGTGACATGATAATGACTCTGGGATTTTTACAAAATGTTCAGATGGACAAATATTTTAAAATGCTGTGATACCAAAATTCACTAAAAATTGTTACAAGACTGTAGTGCTACCTTAATTTGTGTAGTGTCGCTTTTAGAAACCTTCCTCGTTACTCTGCTGAGGGAGTTTTAGTGTTTGGAGCACAAACCTGTTTTATTTAAGTCCATATGATATTGTGAACATGCAACGGCGTAGCGTATCAATTTAGATAGGTAAAGATTGTAAGATAAATTGATTGGGTATGTTACTACTAAGAAGTGGGGAAAACTGAAATCGCAACGTCTGTCATAGATTAACGTTTGAAGTGGTCCATCTGTGACAATAACAAGTATAAGATCCAGATACGAAGAAGATGGGCTATTTCGGTAATATCCTTACTACCTAATTGTCAATTTTGAGGATGCAAATTAGTACAATAATTAGTATTCAGTCCCCTGAAATACATGTTTGAAGGCATATAACTGAGGCCAAAGTTGATGCAGTATATGAGGACAAAGTATCTTTTACATTTCGGTTTATTTTATCAATGTTCCTGGCTATTTTTGGCTTACTTAAATTGCATGGTTCCGATATTATTTGCTCCCTGTTTCTTCATTTACCATATAAATTGTCATATTGTCCTAAAAATTACATTCAGTCACCTGATCAGGTATCAATCATAATCAAAGGGAGAAAAGTTATCACAATTTCTTGTAGACAACTTTGGCGCAAAATTATTGTTTTCTTTATTCAAACTATACCTAAAAGCAAATGACATAGGATTATACTAGTTACATAACACCTTTGTCGAATTGATCTAGTACAAACGTAAGGAAGTCCCCGGACAAAACACAAGTGAGTTACATTTTCTAATTGTTGTATTCAGCCATACAATCCTTAATTCAAGGGTGAGCATGCTGATTTTCAAAGAATTAATGTAGTTTTTTGATAGGTATAATTTACATTTTTCAACGTTTGCATTTTAAGGTTGAAAATGTTCCATTGATATCGTATTGAAACCAGTATTGAATTAAACTGGAAACACATATCAATTGATTAAATGCTTGAAATTCATATATTTATGCCATTTGAACAGTGATTTAACCTCTGATTTCCCCGTTGACTGTCCAAGGTCAAACCTCATTTTTGTTGTGACCTTTTTCAAAATTTTGAAAAATACTTTGCATCAAAGCAATGTTGTTGTTGTTATCAATAGAGAAAAAATTGATTTAATTTAAACAAAATTTTGGACTCCATTATGTTTCAATCATTGAATTTTTTCTCAATCTAAGGAAAAATTCCATTTTTGTTCGATAGAAAGACTAGATATCCAGATCTGGATGTATAGTTATAATGATCCGACAATACAAGCGTAAAAGACGTACGTTTTGACTACTTTTTTTGAAACCTTATATTTGGATGAGTTCCTGTACCGAGAAGTTTCATCGACGTCGTTATGTGTTAAATAATGAAATTATATCGTAACTCATCATAGTTAACGGTAACAGTAAAACATACAGGTCAACCTTCTTTGAAGTAGGTCATAGACAAGGTTTCAAAAGATGCTTCATTGTCACGTTTATCGTCCTCATCGGTCTTATCTGCATGCCTGTTGAACTGTCCAACCGAATATGCAATTTTCTGCTTGGAAATTGCAGATATGTCACTATCATTACTATTGTTATCATTTATGCATAAATCAACAGAAAACCTGCTGCTTTGTTTGTACGTTTTCCGCGAAAGAGCAACTTTGACATAATGCATACAGTGATTTCAAGGGATGGAATAGTAGTTGTTTTTGTAATGTACTCTTTAAACATTTATACACGTTAAAGATATTGCATATGAACTATATTCCATTTTTTCGTACTTAATATAGAGTAGCAGGGATATTGACTGACCAGGATTTCATAATTACCTTAATATGACAATTCACATGACCAATAACTACGACAATAAAACTATATATATACATATATAATTATGGCCCCGTCGTTAATGTTCAAAACTAGTAAAGATTGTGTGTCTTCAATGTTTTTGTTATTGTCGGATGATCATTACTATTATAAAGACTTGAAGGTCAATATAATCTAAAATCTCGAACTGTTGACGAAATTATTCACAGTAAGATAGCTTTCATTCAAAAAGTATGTAAATTGCTCTGTATGCAACATCGTTCTTTTAAAAAACACCTATACAGATTTCAAAATCCTATCATTGAATATATTTCTGCGTTTCTCAACTTTACCATTTAAATTCGTAGGGCAGAATTAACAATAAACATTGTTTTTTTCCAAATTGGACATTAAGCATGTTGAGTGAATATCTTTTACAAGTTTCAATTTATCAATTTTGATACCATGAGCTCTCCATGTAGGTTTCATCTGTTGCCTTAAGCAAGACACATTCTGGTAGCATAATACCGCTGCATCAAGGGCGTTAACTCCTTCCCATGGGTAGGCTGCAGCGTGCGCAGCTTTCCCTGTGTATTTGATAGTAACCCTGCAATCAAAATAACACAGCTTAGGAAACAAAATTTCAAAAAGTAATCAGAACATTAGGAAAGATGGATTACGTCATTTGGTTGGGTTTTAAAAAATAATATTTACCAATAATGTTATAATGAGAGTGTGGGCTTTAGTAGATCACAATGCTTTTTTTGTACATGTCTTGTCGTTTCTTAACACTTTCATATTCCATTTTTTAAAATGAAAATAGATATTCCGCGACAATAATGTTTTTGTTTTCTGTTTTATTCATTTGTTTTCTATTAACGGATTTTGTTTAGAATATTTGCCTATCAATATTATATTATAGATCAATGTTGATATAAATAAAACACATACGTATCAACAGCTGCAAAAGAACCATGGGATACAGTCTTTGGGCATGGATGAACCATCATGGCTACATCAATATCGTCAAAGACACCAGCATTTATCATGTCAATTTTACCTCCACCTCCCTCCTCAGCAGGGGTTCCTAAAACAGTTATCTGAAAAAGAATATGATTGATCGAAAACCATGCATACAAAGTCATTTTAGTAATGTGTTGACAAGTGGTTTAATGGAATGGTGCTTCACTCAGATGTTATTACAATACAATTTTTCTTTCTTAGACGGAAATGTTTAAGACTTCTGCAAGCTTTGAAGTTGATTGAATGATAAAAACAAACAATAAATAAAGATACCAAGGAGGAAATTAAAATTCGTATTTCAATTTTGTTTTAGTAATACGCATATGATGAATCGAAGTAATTCAGATGTAATTTTAAAGTATTACCAGTAGTTTGATGTCACTGCTGGTGAGATACAAGCTATCCAAAAAACTATCCTTTACGCAATCTTAGGCTTGGTTTTGCAGTCTAATTTTGTCTTTGTGATTCCCTCATGTACATTAATCTAAACATAACGGTTTAGCCTACCTTGCCAAATGGTTTTTCTGCTTTCTCCAATGCTGCTTTTATTCCGAGACCAGCGGCAACACCAGCTTCAGAAATCAAATTATGTCCGCATGCATGTCCGATCTCCGGTAACGCATCGTATTCACAAATAACTGCAATGTTGGGTCCATTATCTGTGGAGCCTAGATCCGCTTTAAATGCAGTCTCTATCGCAAATTTCTTTCTGACATTGAAGCCCTTACGTTCAAGAAAATTGGTTAATATTTCATGCGCATGATGTTCCTCAAAGTTCAGTTCTGGATTTCGCCATATATCTGTGCTCAGCTTTCCCAGTTCTTCTGACGCCTCATCAATTGCTTGAAATATTGACTGTTTTAATAAATCCATTTAATCAATACCAAAGGAAACCAATGCATAAGCTGAGTGTCATATATTATATTTTGCTTGTGATAGACGTGAAGTTAGAAAATATTTATACCACCCACTTAAAAAAGTACAGGTTTACATTTATCTGAGGTCAATGATACACGTACGATTTATGATAAACCTTCGTCATTTACCTTACCTTGTCGTTAAAAATATGATTTTGAATGCACTTTGTCCGAATTTAAAATTTCAGATAATTAATGAACCAATTATCTAATAGTGTGCTAACATAGAAAAATAACTGTGATTTAAAAACGCTTTGTGCGGAAACAGTATAAATTAGGATCTTTGGTGAGGTTTTTTTCAACCGCTGGGTCGATACCACTGCTGGTAGAGGTTTTCCCCCGAGGGTACAAATAGCCTTGTAGTCAGCAATTCTGTGTTGACATGAATTTTCATTGATAATGTCATATACGTGAATTGACTGTTTACAAAGCTTTGAATTGTTCGAAAAACTAAGGATGATTATCTACCCCAGGAATAGATTACCTTAGCTGTATTTGGCATAACCTTCCTTAATTTCTGATCCTTAATGATCTCCAACAACGTAAGTTGTATTTGGACTTTTCATTTTTTGATTCGTGCTTTTATAAAAAAATTTACAACTGTTTCTTACAATTACACAATATGTGTTGTTTGATTCAATTTTTTTTAACTTTGTCATTTAAGGGAAGATAACTCAGATAAAGTTACTTTTATAAAGGAATGTATTATGAATTTACCTATAATCAATATTTTGTTTTGTAGCAAGAAAACGAGTCCCGTGACCCCAATTTTTATTTTTATTTTCTGAAAGCACATAATGAGAGATACCTTCTTATATTTCATCTTTCAATTCTAAGTTTTCTTTTTATCAAACAAAATAGGAATTTCCATGCATAAGCTATACAAAATCTGACAATCTTGCACAACCTGGAGCTTGAAAAGAAGCCCCGTGACCCAAATATATATATTTTGAAAAAAGCATGATAAAAACTATCAAACTTTAACTTACTTTTCGCTATATAGATGATGTTCTCTCACTAAATAATTCAAAATTTGGTGACTATGTTGAACACATCTATCCCATCTAATTTTAGATGAAGGATACAACAGATACAGTTAACAATTATGAAATTTTCATTTCTATATAGCAATATTCCAGCAGCGTCTGCATACGGAGTATATATCTCCCAGTTAATACGACATTTCAGGGCTTGTATTTCCTATCATGATTTCCTTGATAGAGGGTTGCCGCTCACAATGGAGCTATTAAACCAGGAGTTCCAAGTGGTGAAGTTGAAATCATCCCTTCGTAAATTTTGCGGACGCCCTGAGATCACTCCCAGTTTTTGGAGGGGTACGTGTTGCTCAGTCTTTAGATTTCTATGTTGTGTTTTGTGTACTGTTGTTTGTCTATTGGTCTTTGGACTTTAATTTATATACCCTCTCCCCCCCCCCCCCCCCCCCCCCCCCCCATCTACCTTAAGGAGCAAAAGCATGTTGGCATTTCCACATTACTACCAAATGTATAAAAATTCAAATTTGAAAAACTCATTTTTACTGTATTCTTCGTGTATATTCCTTTTCGCAGTTTTATTATCCGTTCTTGAATTATAAGCAACTATTTTCTACCTGATATTGACAACAATCGATATGTTATCTGAATTAAACATAGAAAAGCAAAACGATTCATATTTTCAGATGATGGTTTTTACGGCAACTGTAAAGCTTTATAGACTACTGTTCACTGAAGAATATAAATATTGCAGTTTAAAACGATGATAAAAATGTCCTTCGCTTAGGACCGAAAAAATTTTTTACGGGGATTATGTTCCATATAAATAATGATCCCCTAAACAGATTTTTTGTTAAACAGCAATTTTATCGTTTTTTTAGAATTTTTAAAAATTAAAACTTTTTGTAAATATCATAGTTTCGTAAAAATAAAACTCTTAATTTGCGTTAGATTTTGAATTATTGTATTCTGCTCTATAAAGTCCGTATGTTGTTTTTTTAAGAAGAAAAAAACATTCAAAAACCAGAAAGGAGCATTTTGTGTAATTCTATAAAAAATTTAGGAGTGTTCACTCGAGATTGTCCTTTGACGTTGATTTAACGGACATTGCATATTACTAGTTTTTGATGACTAAACAAAACTGAAGGTACAGATAATCTTTCGAATGGTTTAATATGTAGATGAATATCAGGTTTGTACATGAAAGTCGTTAACTAGGAGTTTTAAATGTCACTCGCCTAATATATAACCATTTCAAAACGTCCTCTCAAGTATGCATCATGCTGCACATATTTTGCTTATTCTTTAACTTCTATATATGAAAATAAGGAAATGTGCTATGAATGCCAATGAGACAGCCATCCACCAGAGTTCAAATGATGAAGATATAAGCAATTATAGATCACCTTACGGACTCCAACAATGAGAAAACCCCATACATGTAGTCAGCTATAAAAGGCTCCGACATGAAAAATGTGAAACAATTCAAACGACAAAACAACCGGCCTTACTAATAACAATAAAATTTACGAAAAACAAATATGACAGAACATTCTAGTTCACTGGGATAGATAAGACTGATACCCTCGTACTTATTCGCTACTTATTTGTTCCTTATTAGATTATTATACGTTGCACCTTTTTAATGCTTTATTTTTTTTTCTTTTCTTGTCTCTGCTGGTAGTTTTTTGTTCGATGAGGTGAAATTAATCTGTTAGCGCGTATGTACCGTTTCCACGCTCGACTGATACCCTGTTACTCATTCGTTACTTCTTCGTTTCTTATTCGCTTTTTAAACGTTCAACCTTTTTAATATTTTGCTTCTGTTATTTCCTTTTCTCTGGTGTTAGCTATGGGTTCGGTCAGTTGAAATTACCCTGTTAGAGCGTATGTCCCCGTCTCTGCGCTCGACTGATACCCTGTTACTTATTCGCTACTTATTTGTTCCTTATTCGCTTTTTATACGTTGCATCTTTTTAATGCTTTCTTTTCTTTTATATTCTTGTCTCTGGTGTTAGTTCTTGGTTCGTAGAGGTGAAATTACCCTATTAGCGGCGCGTGTGTACCCGTTTCTGCACTCAGTTGATACCCTGTTCCTTTTTCGCTTATGATACATTGCTCCTTTCTATTGATTTCTTTTTATTTCTTTATATGTCTCTGGTGTTAGTTCTGGTTTCGGTGAGTTGAAATTACCGTGTAAGCGCGTATGTCCCCGTCTCCCTGTTACTTATTCGCTACTTTTTTGTTCCTTATTCGATTTTTATACTTTGCACCATTTTATTTTCTTATATTTTCTTGACTTTGGTGTTAGTTCTGGTGTTAGTTCTCGGTTCGTAGATGTGAAATTACCCTATAAGCGCGTATGTACCCGTTTCCGCGCTCGACTGATACCCTATTACTTTCGTTCCTTATTTGCTTTTTATACGTTGTCACTTTTTAATGATTTCTTTTTATTTCTTTTCATTTCTTTGGTTTTATTTTTGGTTTCGTGGAGTTAACATAACCCCGTTAGCGCATATGTACCAGTTTCTGTGCTCGACTGATACCCTTTTACTTATTCGTACTTATTTGTTCCTTATTCAAGTTTCCTACCTTGCACCTTTTGAATAAAATAATAAATGAAAACAACACGTTATAAATTTCATGCGTCCGAAGCTCTTTTCTGGATTTACCTTCATCAGGAACGCTCAAAGCTAAATATTTGAAAGCCAAGGATGTATAAGAACCGGTTGAAACAGTTGAAGAGCTAAACGAACTGTTGTACGTTTGTTTTTTTTCTACATTGGCTAGAGGTATAGGGGGAGGGTTGAGATCTCAAAAAACATGTTTAACCCCGCCGCATTTTTGCGCCTGTCCCAAGTCAGGAGCCTCTGGCCTTTGTTAGTCTTGTATCTTTTTTAATTTTAGTTTCTTGTGTATAATTTGGAGTTTAGTATGACGTCCATTATCACTGAACTAGTATACATATTTGTTTAGGGGCCAGCTGAAGGACGCCTCCGGGTGCGGGAGTTTCTTGCTGCATTGAAGACCCATTGGTGGCCTTCGGCTCTTGTCTGCTCTATGGTCGGGTTGTTGTCTCTTTGACACATTCCCCATTTCCATTCTCAATTTTATATAACCAAAAAAGACCTAAATAATAGCCAAATCCATCTAAGTCAACTTTGCCTGAGGGAGTTGAAACCTTAGTTTCTAACAATTTCAAAATTTATAAACGGACAATTTTAAAAAGGTTTGTTATAAATCATGTCAGTACCGAAGTACTGATTACTCGGCTGATAATACCCACGGGGACCGATAGTCCACCAGCAGATGTATCGACCCAGTGCTGTAAAAAATGAAAACAACACGTTATAAATTTCATGCGTCCGAAGCGCTTTTCTGGATTTACCTTCATCAGGAACGCTCAAAACCAAATATTTGAAAGACAAGGATGCATAAGAACCGAAACAGTTGAAGAGCTATATAACCAAAAAGGACATAAAATATAGCCAAATCCATCTAAGGTCAACTTTACCTGAGGGAGTTGAAACCATAGTTTCAAACAATTTCAAAATTTATAAACGAACAATTTTAGAAAGATTTTTTATAAATCAGGTCAGTACCGCATGCTATCTTTTCTTTTATTTTCTTGTTTCAGGTCAACTTTTGCCGGCTGGTTAAACTAACAGGTTATCCACGTAGGACATTGTACCAGAGGTAGAAGTAAGCATGGTCTTTAAAATGTCCCATACCACTTATGCCCTAGAACCGTACTAGTTTTTCAGCATAGGGTGGGGTACCCCTATATGTTACAAAAATCAACTTAACTATTACCAGCTGGCCAAACTAAGAGATTCTCCACGCGGGCAATTGTATCAGAGGTAGAAGTAAACCTTACCTTTAAAATGGCACATAGCACTTATTCCAACTCATGTTCAGTGGATTTGATTTAAGATACAATTGCTTTACAGAATAGACTTCGTCC